ACAAAAAAAAAAAAAAGAAGTTTATCAACCCTCTTCAATTCAAAATACGACGCCAAATAACTAGAAGCAATGCTATCATGTCACCATTTAGTTGGCATTTCAATTTCACATCACCAGAAAGCATCCGTACCTCCATTTTAGCATTCGTCCACCGAGGCACTTCTACGACCATATGAAGCAAATTCTGCAGTCAAAAAGAAAGGGAACATAAACAAGTTTCCTTATTTTTTTGTTTATTCACTTGGTTTTTGTCTCTTTTTTTGGTACCGGGAATCTGACTCAGGACCTTGTGCTTGCCAGGCAGGCACAGCGCCACTGAGCTAAATCCCCAGCCCTTATTTATTCACTTGGGATGAGAGAGCCTTATGCTGAGTAAAACTGAGTGTGTTCTGTTGAAGGAGTTTTTTTTCCCACTAAAACATGGTTGACGTCTACGTCATACCTCTAACTCTGCCTTAAATTTCTCCTAAAAATTAAAGAAGTGGCCTGAAAGCCAGAAGAACTGAAGCCATCCCATCAGCTGACCTCGACTCCCGGTGTCAGGGGCCAGTACCTGTCACAGTCACCCCAGTGGGTGGGCCGGGCACTGTGCTGCTGCTCACTCCCCTGACAGAGCAGGGGAGAGGGCTCCCTGCTGCAAGCATCTGGGCTCATTTCTCCACAGAGGCAAGAAGGACCACCTCTGTCCCACTCCCCACTAGGTTGCTCAGATCTACCAAGGAACCTAAAGGAAAATGCTCAGAAAATTAGGAAGTGAAATATGAAAAGTGTATCAAAAAACTGGCATCCAATTTGCACTGAGTGTGAGGCAAAGGCGCTCACTAGAGAAGTCTCGAGGGTCACGCACGGCAGGGTGAGCCTTTCCGGTCTGAGCTGGCAAAGCCAAGGACACGGGATTCCCGAAAGGTGCAAAGGGGCCCTGGCTCCAGCTCTCCCCAAAGGGGACTGCAGGTCACTGGTAAAGAAAAACAATTCCCTGCAGACTGCCTCAGAAAGAGAAAGCTCAATCCGCAAGGCCATTTGCCCGGCACAGTGGCTTCAGTAAGGAACCATGCTGCTCACAGAGAAGCAGTGATGGAAGCTGCTACCCTGAGCATGGCCAGGCGGAGCCCCAGCTGCACAACACCTGCTGTGGATCCCTCAAGACAGGAATGCGTCTGTCCATGGCGTCTCTTAGTAAAAAAAAATTGGAACCTGAATTACACTTTACCAACTATTCATTTTGATTGGATTTTGTAAAACGGTATCAGTGCAAGACACATAGAAAGAAATCTGAGACCATAACATTAAGTGAGATAAGTCAGACACATAAGCTTAACTATCGCAGTGGTTTCTCTTACATGAGAAACCCAAATTATAAAGAGCAAAGTAAGAGACAGATAATAGGAAGTAGGGAGACAGATCTTTCTCAAAGGGGAAGGGACCCAAGAGATAGACGGAGAGGGGCAGAAGAGAGGGGCAGAAGAGAGGGGAGGGAAAAGTGCTGAAAAATGAATGAAGATATGCTATGTATATGTACCAATCCTACACAAGGAATATAAACTTCATGTACTGCAAATGTGTACTAATGAAACAAATAAACAAACAAACCAAAAAGAGAATCCTCCTCCACAGGTTATTTGAGAAGTAATTTTTCTACTTCAATCACGTCACCCATCAAAATCTCCTGGGAACCTTTATTCAATTAGAAAAAAAAAAAAAAAGATTCCCAGAGGCCCGACACCCTCCAACTGAATTCAACTCATCAGGTCATTACTAATTTTATTTTTGGCATCAGGAATCAAACTCGGGGCCTCATGCTTGCCAGGCAAGTGCTGCCACCACTGAGCTACAACCCTGGCCTGTCACTGAAAGTTTTTTAAAAGCTCTCCAGCAGTTTTAATATGCAGCCAGACTTGGCTTCAAACACTGCTAACCACTATCTTAGGGGATTCTTTGTGAAATACAAGTGTTAATTAAAGAATGCCACCTGCACTATTTTTTTTTGCCAATACCGGGGATCGAACCCAGGACCTTGCACTTGCAGGGCAGGCGCAGAGCTGCTGAGCTAAATCCTCGGCCCAGCACTATTAAATATAAATACACAGCGAGCACATGAGTCATGATGGCTTTTATTACTTTTCTCCAGGTAAAACTAAATGCTCCACATGGCCAGAGTGCAAACCCCGCTGCAAGAACGAATGCCAGCCCCTGCCCCTCGGGCGCCGCCCCCGCCTGGCCCAGCAGCTCGCCCCGTGGGGCTGTGGGGACCAGGACATGGCGTTTCCTGCACTCTTTCGTGACAGCTGCACCTGCTCAAATACACTGGAAATGCTGCTAAAAAGAACTGAAGTGATCGGCAGATGTTCACTGACTTATTCTGCCCTGAGAGCCTGGCCACGAAAGCACAGTGCACGTGGCCCTGTGGTGGACACGACAGAGGACCGTGCTAGCGACCACTGTGTCCCTGAGCAGTGACACCACCAAAACCTCCCCGGAGACTTGAACTCAGCTCCAGAACAACAGGTGAGGAACAGGCTTGGAGTTCAGCCCAGGGGCTGCGCTCTCCCTCCACCCCCTCCCTGTCAACAGTACCTCATTCCTAGCCAGCCTTTCCCTTCTCAGCCAAAACACATCTGCCCTGTAATTTTTTTAAAGCCAAGTTAGTCTGGCTTTCCTAAGATCAGCGTTATTACAAACCAAGAATGGCCTTCCAGGATGTTTTTTTTTTTTTTTAAATCAAAAAGACAAAAGGGGACAGAAATCAAATCAGAAAGGTGTGTATGTACCAGGAACAATGAGTTCTTTCTTGTCTCTCCTTTTTTTCCCCCTTGCATTTTCATCACAGAAATAAGAAAAATAAGATATGTGAAAAAGCAACCACCAAGTTGTATGTATGTGGGCAAAGAGAAAGAAATCACCCTTCTGCCTCTCCAACTTTTTAAACTTTCAACTAAACACAAATCAGATCATCTCCGCCATACACAGTGTTTAAGAATTAAATTTAATCTGATGGTCTGGGTTCAGAAGAGACTTATCACGCTGAAACAAGAGACTCAGATTAATGCCCTAAGATTAATATACTGAGTCCCTAGGAACCATAAAGCCCGGAGTGCCTGTCTGTGGCACTCGATGTCTTGGCCAGGGGCTCCCCACCTTCCTGCCTCGATGCGCCACGCTGAGTAAACCGGCCCCATCCCACCGAGCACTCAGGGTCAGCAGACACCGGATGCAGCCAGGAATCTGGATTTCTAACAAGTGCTCTAGGTGGCCCCAGGCTAGATGTTTCCAGGACTATCTGACGAACAGACTCAGAAAAGCAGAAGGATGGCAGGCCAATGCTGCAGGAATTACACAGCCTCCACTGCCATGTGTGGAAGTGGATTCAAAAGCTGCAGTTAGGGCAAAAACTCAGGGCAGAGAACAGATGGAAATGAAGCTGGAAAGGTACAGGTGGAGGGAAAGCTGTGAGGACTGAAGGATCCCAGAGCAGGGACGGACCAAGTATCAATCACAGGTGTGCAAAGCAAGCAACTATAACAGGTCTGACAGTCACGGAATCCAATGATGCATCTGGAACATACTTTAATAGAGCTGGCATACATGTTTCTCCTCTCTACTTCTGAAAAACCGCTTAAGACACTCACTGCATTATTGAAATTCAACACCAGGGAGCAGGGCTAACACACCATGAACATATCAGCCCCCTCCCACCTTGAATTCCTCCAACTATCTTCACTGTTAGAATTTCTAAAAATACGCAAACTGGCCAATTTTCATAAACTACTTACTTTAGACCATTGGCCATAATAAATAATTTGCTACTAAAATCTGGGTTCTTGTTTTGATTCTCTCAAGTTGTTCACTTAAAAACCGAAATGGCAACAAAGTACCTAGATCAGTCAAATTCAGAGACAGAAGGAGGAGCTAACTTGGAGCTGGAGGCTGGGGGAGGTACTAGAGGATAAGGCTAAATTCCATTCCGGGTGACAGAAAGTTCTGGAGATAGATGGAGGTGATTGCAGCAAAACAGTGTCTAAGTACTGAATGCCACTGAATTGTACACTTAAAATGTTAATACGGTAAATTAATGGTCATATCAGCTCTAAATGCCTTAAAGAGATCCTAGAGGGAAAAGTTTCAGATAGTCTTGCAGGGGAAAATATTTAGAGGCACTTTACAAACACACACAATCGGGGCCAAGGATTTAGCTCAGTGGTTCCGGCGCCTGCCTTGCAAGTGCAAGGTCCTGAGTTCGATCCCCGGTACCAAAAAAAAGAAAACAAAAACAAATACAATCATCGAGGGCTTTAACAGGCAGTGTAAAAGTGATTCCCCAAATGAAAAGTGTAGATATACCTCATCATCATTGCTTCGTGCTTTCTTGGTAGGAATGCCACTGTCCTGTAAGAGAAAAAGATGGTAGCTGTGATCGTCACATTTTCACAGAGAAGAGGACTAATGAATAAACGCTCCTGTTGGATGACAGAGGCTGCCTGAACCTCTGCCTCCACGGAGAGCCACCGAACAGCACCGGGCTGTTTCATAAACGATCAGAAAAGCTAACTCTCTTTCAGGTGCTACACATTTTCCAGGTTCTTATAAAACCAGCACAGGCTCCGTCTGGTCTTCAAGGAAGGACTGGCAGTTTCCTGCGATTACGCTTAAAACAGTCGCTTAAGACAGTCGTTTCATTATTGAAACTCGACTCCAGGGAGCGGGCTAACAAGCCATGAAGTACCGGCCCCTCCTGCCTTGAATTCCTCCCATGTGCGGATTATGCTGCCTGAAGCTTCTGTGAATTCAGCCAGACTACCATGGGGTGGGTAGGAGAAGATGACGCCACTCCCGAAAGCTTGCCCAGGCGTGTAACGTTCATGCACCAAAGCGACTACTAATGAGGACACAAAATACACAGAACAGTAATTAGCTCCAGTCAACCCTGAAACTAGTGTTTTTTTTTTAGTACCGGGGATGGAACTCAGGACCTTGCGCTTTGGAGGCAGGCGGCGGAACCACTGAGCTAAATCCCCAGCCCCTCGAAACTATTTCTTTTCCCACAACTCTGCATCCCAAAGCACAAGTCCCAGTCATGACTGGCTAAAAGCGAGGGGATCTTACTAACAGAGCCACCTTCTGGGCCAAGCTGTGTCCCAAGAACTCACCACCACATCCTGTCTCAACGTGTCCTGACCCAGCTTCAGTATGGACCCCCATCCTCCCTCCGTAGACATAGTGTTATGCCCTCTGATGTTTTTCCTTTTTTTCGAGATACTAGAGATTGCTGTCTGGGTTCCGCACTAAGGAACATCCCCAGCGTCTCCCCCATTGTGAGACAGGTCTCTTAAGTCACTAGGCTGCTCAGGCTGGGTTTGAACTTGTAACCCTCCTGCCTTGGCTTCCCAGGTCACTGGAACTACAGGCACGCCCACTATGCCTGGCCACACTGACGTGGCTGTCTCGCTCTTGGTTCCACCTCTCTACTACATGACTCCCAAAGACAGAGCGTGACTACTGTGGCTGTCACAGGCCCACACGCCTCTCTGTGACAAAGGCCACCAGGCTCTCTACCACACACCGCCCACTGCAGGGCTGTAGCTTTTACTGGCCGTACGGTCGTCTGTCTCCTCCAGCTGCGCATGAACTGGATCTGTCTGAATTGCCACTGCATACCCTGGGTCTGAAGTCACGTCCAGCTCACCACAAGCATGCGAGGGTTACTTGCTGAATGAGTAACAGTAAGTAAACAAATGCATGCACGTGCTGGCCAGGTGCGAGACGAGAGGTGCTGGGGTCTGCTGCTTCACTGGCCAAAGCAAAACAAAACTCAGAGACACACCGTAATGCTCAGCTACCACTATCCTCCCTGGCTCCCTGTCGCTCCAGATTCGAGGACGGTGACCGCAGCAAGCTTAGAACTGACAGAAGGACTGGGCTCCAAGCTCAGTGCCCAGCGAAGCCCCACAGGCCCTCGGCACACCCTCCGGTCACTGTCACTCTGGCTGGTCCTCCGCCCTCTCCTGGGCAGCAGTGCTCTGACAACTCAGTCATCGCCTCGGATGGTAAGGATGCCTCACAGTGACTAGGAACATCTGCCGCCAAATACACCAGCTGAGCAGGACTGCCAAGTGCCCGACGCCTTTGGGCCCTGTCAGTTCTGCCAGTGACAGTGGCTCTCCTGCTCCGCCTGGTGATAACCGGTTCAGCCTCACCGTGGGGTGACCTGCAAGCCCAGTGCAATGCGACCGACCGCACGCATAGGTTCTCGGAGACAGCTACACAGACAGGGCCACTGTGCCAGCCTGGCTGTGCCAGCAGCGGCTTCACAGAGCAGGCGGGGAGTGAGAGCGCTGTGGGCCCCAGAAGTGCCAGCGCAAAGCCTGGCTCTGGCAGGCGCCAGCTGTGTGACATCGGACAAGTGGATCGAATCCCTGCACCCTTGTATGCCTGGGAAAAACAACAGTCACTTAGACGGGTTACATGACACACACTCACATGGCGCCTGCCAAATAGAAACAGCGCACAAGTGTCAGGTACGACATCACTATTAACAATAAGCCCTTGGTTCGTGTCCTAAATGGTTACCCTTCATCTTTAGCCCCTACCGAATTCTACGTCCAGTGGACCACAAACACCCCTTTCTCCCAAGTCCTCCCAGAAGAATTCTATCCTCGTCCTAAGGTTAAATCATGCCGGAACTCCACTTTCTCCTCCTGACTTCCAACCACATTCTTTCCTTTCATGTCACCTCCAAAAAAGCATTTTATAACAATATCAGAAATACTAATTTTCACCTTCAAAACAAGTTGAAATAGTACCTTTTCAGTGCCGACCCTGAGAGGGATGTCATGGAAGGGGGAAATGTAGTGACCAGCTCCATTCTCTGCAAAGACAAAACAAAAAGCAGTATTAAAGCCATGCACTCAGTATTCTTTATAATATCCTCATCCATCTGTAAAGTTATCCCTCTCTTCAAGGCTAATCTTCAACTCGCAGTCTAAAGTTTAATTCAACTTTTAAAACGCTCCTATCTGAGGACCAAAGAGAAAATATATACCAACTAAACCACGAGGTCGCCAAAATCATTTTATTATTGTGGCTCAAAACATTCAAAGCAGAAAATGTCTAAATTTGGAAAAATCTCACTTTTTTAAAAAGACTCATTATGACGTGGATTGGCCTGAGATGAATGTTAATTTAACGAGCAGATATCTAACAACAGACCTCCCAGTTTCCTCCTATAACCACGGACAGGAAGGCCCACCGGTTCCATGCTATTAAAAGAAATATTAATTTGTCCCTAGGGTGCCAATATCACAGAAAGCTCATGACAGAAACAAAGCTCAGTAAGAGAAACTAGCTTATCTTAGATGTGATATGCTGAAATACGTATTTAAAATAACTTTAAAAGCATGTATTATTGAAATAGAGTAACGACTCAATATGCACTTTTCCTGGAATTCATCTGTTTCTAAAAGCTGGTTCTAATGCAGCCACACAACTGTGCCATTCATAACTTCCTCAATCGGGATATGTTTTATTTCTGTCCTCCTCTGTGGCATCATTTTTAAGTTTAGGTTTTAAAAATCTTTTAACAAAATAAAACAGAGACTGGCTGACACTCTATCTGCGATGAACACACCCTGTAACCAAGACCCTGGTTTCTAAATTCTCCAGAATCTACCATTCTCCAGTGAGGGAAACTGAGGCACTTGGGAGAGGGGCTGACTCTCCCACCAAGGAAAAGAACACACAAAATGAGGCCGGGCATCTCTCAGGGTGAGAAATCAACCCAGCAGAACAGCTTTGCGTGCAGCGTGAGGCCTGAGTTCACCCGCAGCATGGGGGGAAAAGTCCAGAAAACCAAGCACAGCAGCCGGGTCTGGCAGTCCCAGCTATTCGGGATGCTGAGGACTGCTGGAGCCCAGGACTTCAAGCCAGCAGGGCATTAGCTCAAGACCTTGTTTTAAAACAAACACAAAACAAATACAAGGAGTCAACCAAGTACTCAAAACACAAAAGGTTGCAATGTTCAAGGGAAATGTGAGCCCCAAATGCCAAAGACAAAACAATGTGAGCAATAACATAATACAACACTGAATTAAAGCCCGTAAGTATAAAACAAATATATGAGTCCACTCTGATACAAACAAATGACTGAATAAATACATGAATGCGGAAACAGGTCTGAGACTAAGAAACAGCAGCACGCGGGAGGAGAGGGGCAGAGGAGCAAGGGTGAGGTGGCACAGGGTCCGGACGGGGCCCTGGGTGGGAAAGACGCTGTCATTGCAAACACAAGCATCAGTTCAGGAAAACTTGGGGTTCTTCGGAGAACCCAAGCGCTGGTTTCTCAGTCCTGGTGAATGCATGATGGTCAGGAAAGGTGTTAACCTGAGGGGACCCCGGGCTAAGGGTTACTGCACTTCTGGGCCATCTTTGCAACTTTCCCAAATCTAAAATTATTCCCCCCAAAAGTTTAGTAAACACCAACAACAGCAATACAAAAATAGAAAAATAAATAAGTTCCAGCCCATTAAAAACAGAAGTGTGTAACTCAACAATGGCTCTTACAGCACAGAAAGGTCCCTCCCGTGACTTAGCACTGCAATGAAGTTCTGAAGGGGGTCCGAGTGAGTTGTCGCTCATGATGCCACACTTCCTCCCAGAAAAGCGGCCTGCACTTTGCAGACATTTCAATAGACATTTGCTCAGCGAACATAACTATGACTAAATATGATTCCTCGTCATTATTCCGTTCTCTTCCTTCCAAATTGGTAATTTTCCTTTGCCCACCTTGGCAACAAACTTGAGAGAGAGGGCACAGATGGTAAAGTATTTGATACTCCTGCTCGGACCCACACTGCTCCCCTTCTGTTAAAAGGACGTACCAAGCACGCAGACAAAACCCTCTGGGTCCATTCGGCACCAGGCTGTAATCTATCGGCTCACTTTTTTTGATACCGGAGATTGAACTCAGGACCTTGAGCTTGTGAGGCAGGCGGTGGAACCACAGAGCTAAATCCCAGGCCCTATCTGCTCAATTTTCAAAGTTATCTATGAGCAACACAAAAAAAAAAAAAAAAAAAAAGAGAAAGACTATCTCTAATGTGTACACACGACCACTAGAAATGAGTAAAGAATGGTCCATATTTGCTGACTTAGGTAACTACATACTAGAAGCTATTTGGATCACAAAATAGTCTTCATAATGGAGAAAATAATAATGAAGAAACAATAAGAGCGTGCATTTCTGTAAAAAATAAAGCACAGCTTTAGATCTCAGAGTGTCAATGTTTTCATTGGTAGTATACAGAGAAACGCGCACAGGAGCGGCGAGCACAGGAGCCCTGAGAGACCGCCTTCTCAGGTAGTCAGGAGCTTGATAATCTCACGGAATGGTTTCTTCCACGGAGCAGCAACCGTTTACCAAGCATTTTGTGCATAAAATGCAAAGTACTAGATCCTGGGATATAAAAGTGCTGGGAAATGATTTGTGCCCGTCACTAAGGCAAAGCACGGCCCACCTCACTGTATGAATTGTCACCACCGTCGACCGGGAAAGGCGCCAGGTCACGCCCGGGGGTCCTCATGTGCACACATGGCCAGTCCCCGAGGCGCGACGAAGGATGGGATGTGGGCAGGACAAGTTCTCGGGGTCTATGCTGTCACCTCGCCAGCCTGTGAACCTTCGGGTCCCCCCCCAGGGCTGGCCATCCCAATCCGCTCAGATGAAAGGGGGACGCGTCTCACACACGTGTCTCACACACGCAGGCCACAGGCAGAGGCGCAGCCTGGCAACCGAGGCCGCTTCCTGCATACGACGCAACCGACCCGCACCTCAGCTGGCCCCTGCCAGAGCCAGAGAGGAACCAGTGATCACACTGTTACTTTCCGAAGCGCAGGCTCGACAGCAAGCTGCTGCTGCCAGCTTACTTTCTAAAATGTCTATTTTCACGTTATGTCAAACCAAGGCACCTCTGGTTCAAAGCAGAAGTTCCACCTCCTCCCATCCAGGTCCCAGGGCGGGGGTGGGGGTGGGGCTTCTCCTCTAACTCACTGTGGAGCCCCCTGGTTCCCTTCTGGGGGGCCCTACTTAATGTATCCCTGCTAGAGAAATTCCTTATGGATTCCAGTTCTCTGAGGTAAGAAGTCAGGTCATGTGACCCCAAGCCACCCTCCTTAAATTCCTGGCTAATTTTAACACTGTGGTCCTCTGCTCCACCACACAGACAGTGTTTCTTGTCCCCACCAGGCTGCCTTTCACTTCTTTCCTCATTCTTCTCCCTGGATTTTTGTCTTCTGCGCTTTATTTTTTTCCATTTCTAGGCTGACAAGGCGTTCTGCAATCGCTGATGTTCCAGGCTCTTCCTACAGCATATTTCTTAGATCTCTCCTGTTACCCCTGATAATTCCCTCTTCATTTTATCTGTTCTTTCCTTCTGAAACTGGTGTTAGTCACATGCTGAATATCCGACAATCACCGTATCTCTGCATTTTACCGCCTTTGCCTGTTTCTGGTAGATTTCCTTACTTCTTTATCTGCACTACTTTCTTATGGCCACTGTAACAATTACCACAAATGTTGTGGCTTAAAACAACAGAACATCATTCAGCTCACCTTTCCTTTTAACAATCCTATTTTAATTCCCAAGAACTCTTGCTGCTATATCTTCACAGGTTCCTCTTCCTTTTTCCTGGGCACAATCAATACCTTTTAAAATCTCAGATGACATCCATCGACTTTTTAAAATTCAAGTTCTCTTCTTTCTGCTTTCTGTTTTTCTTATTTAATTTATAAGTTTTCCTTAAGTTAATTCACTCAGTAAATATTTACTGAACACATACACTGCACCAAGCACTACTCTATGTGGCAGGAATATGAAATCTAATTCCCTACTCATATGTAACTTCCATTTGAGTCAGGGATAGAGGCAATGAATATGCAATACTCGCTGGCAGGTATGATGAGCATTAATAACACAAAGCCCACTGCGGCGAGTTGAGCGAGAGAGAAGATGACGAGGTGCCGCATGGTCAGGGAAGAGCTTTCTGATGGGTGTGCTGCCAAGGAGGAGCCCTGCAGGCTTAGAAAGTACAAGTGCTCAGGCTATGGCACTCGGAGTGAGTCTTAGAATCTGCAAGGAGACTGAGACATCAGTAATTAGGAAATGTGTCCTCTCTGGAGAATTCATTCAGTTGCTTGTGGTCAAATAAACGGGCAATTTTTTAAATATATTAAAAAAAAAAAATACACCTTCCAGGCCACACTGCTGTGACCTGCCTCTTCCAGCATGGTCAGCCGCGGGATCACAATTCAGTGGACACAAGACTTTGGGGGACATTTTAAATGGCAACAGGCTCTGCTCCACCGAAGGGTATGGTGACAATAGCTAATGATAATGTACCATCTCTTAGAAAACATCCAGAAAGAGGTGCTGAACGTTCTTACCACAAAGAAACTGAAAGTGTGCATGGTGATGAACGTGCCCTAACGGGATCGGGACAGAAACAAGCTGGGGAGGGGCGGCAGATGTGGACGTCTGCTGTAGGCACTGAATCTGGAGACCTCCTTAGCTAGGTAGTAACACAGCAGCAAGCTGGACCCGGGGATCTCAAGTTCAAGAAGAGGGAGGCTAACCGGACACACCCGGGCACCCCAGAGGGTCCCCGATGCAGGGGCTCAGCAAATCACCTAGAGCAACACCAGCGATCAGCAAAGGCTGCCCAGTGGGCAGACCCAGCGCAGGCCACGGCTACAGTACAGAAAGCCCTGCTACAACAAAGCCACAGCCACCCGCTCACTGCCTACGGCTGTCAGACTCCACAATCTGCGAACCCCAGTGCGTCCTGCCCAGTCCCTCTGCAGGAAAGGTCACTGAGCCCTGTCCCAGACAGCGGGAAGGGGCTGAGAGTGGCCGGCACCTCCCAAGCTAAGAGCTCCACACACAGGAGGGTCCTCAAGAGACACTGGGAAGCACAGCCCATCAAAGCGAACCCAGAGAAATGCGGCTCCAGAGGCCAAGAGGAAGGAAACAAGTGACTCGAAGAAGTGCCGCTGCCACAGGTCACCCAGGGCACGGCAGCAGGCCGCAGTGGCCGTCACCAGGCGATGTGCTGGGCCACAAGGACGACAGACTAACCAAGGTGACCCTTCGCCAGGTGGCTTGTGTTGGAGATTAGAACCAGGGGCACCGGCTGGGAACTCGGCGTTCACCAGACAAGCCTGATGAAGGCTGGCAGCTTCCTGTGGTGGTGAAGGAACACAGCGGCTGTGACAACCATGCCTCCTGGATGCCGGGTGCAGAGTTCTGCCGGGCTCTGGGGCGCCCGCCTGCCCTACTTCCCTCCCGATTCCCATGGTGCGCCCCAAAAGCCCCAGTTGAGTGCGTGCTGTTTGCTCTGAGCTGATATTAACCCCGTCAGCCTCTACACTGCTGCCCTCCAGCCTGGCCACATCCTCACACCCTCCACCTGTGCCAGGGTCCTGTCCCCCCTCAGTGACATCCTCATCTGAAGCAGGGGCTCCCCCTAAAGATCCATCCCATCCACATGTCCCTCTTTCAAATAATCTTTCACAAAACATTCTGAAATCTCCAGCTCTGGCATCACCCACTTTTGTTGATTTTGGATCATCCTTTCTCACCCTCACTCACTATGACCTTACTGGAATATTTATTAGGCAAGAGATGAGACAAATAACTGCAGTCACTGCCGTGTCACTGTGTCTTGGCCAATGCATCCCAGGCATGAGCGAAATCTCTTGGCCCCAGCCACATAACACAAGGCATTGCCAGTCAGAACCTCCCTTCACTGGGTCCCAGTTAGATTTATGCTGTCATTTTGTGAGTTATCTATTGCTTCCTTCTCTCGTGTGGCTGAACATTTATTACTTGTAGTGGCAAGTCAGAAAATTGAATGGAACACGAAACCTGTACCGATACTATGTTTATATACTAAACAGCGACACTTAAGCCAAGAACCAATATAGCATCACAAACTATCACTAAAGCCATTTATGGGTTTACTGGTTAATAATGACTAAATCTAGCTTTGTTTGATTTTTGTAAGATTAAGAAAATTTAAAAGTTTTAAAAATCAGCTCCAATACAAATATATCCTCTCTCTTATTCAGATCACAACATTTCTATTTCACAGCACTTCTTTTAGAAAACTAGGCTGTTTCAAGGACCAAAACTTAAATCTAATCTTTCTATAGTCACACAATAGTCATCCTGTTCTCACATGTCCACTCGAGTTCTACAATGTGGGCCGGCTCAAAAATAACAAGGTTACCGGAAGTTGTTCACAGGAAGTTTTACTAAGTTCAAACGTATGGCCCACTGAATGGCCTGTTTCACCTACTACTTAAATGATGTATTTTAAAAAAACCAATAATTTCAGCATAAGCCCATACTGTAAGTGATAAAGCAAACTAAAGAACTGCATGACTCATTCTTGTTCTAAACAGAAGAACGGGAATCATTCAAAGCCCTGTTTCTGTCCATCAGTCATCTACTCTACAGAGGCAAAAATACAAATTATGGAAAGCATGGCTTTTTCCTATCCTTTAAGAGAAGTTTAAAATCTAAAACAAAGAACTTTCAAGTTCTTAATACAACAAAACAAACAAAAGATAGCCAAGATACCCAAGGAATGCTGCACAAGGGCTAGGTCCTTGGCTCCCGTGGATAGGTCTGATTCCATCAGGATTTACAGTTAATTCAAAGGCCCATTAAAGTTCTGGGGCCTAGGAATCAATAAAATGGGGCACTTAAAAATATTCAGTTTTGCCGGGGATTTAGCTCAGTGGTTCCGCCACCTGCCTCAAAAGCACAAGGACCTGAGTGCAATCCTGGTACCAAAAAAAAAAAATTCAGTTTTAAACACAGTCCTTCACTTTCACCTTTCACCGAATTAAAAGATAAGAACTTGCCTGATGACACGCAGTCAAGAGGTAAAAGGAAAGCAGGTACATTTAATACCCACCAAGTGTGGATGGCACCGACCATCCACACGTGTACTCACTTCGGCCATGCCAGAGCCCTTTGTGCCGGCCTGGTCCACACAGGGCCGCCCCGGGCCTTGTCCACACTGACAGCTGTGACTTCGGTCTAGGCCCCAACGACACAGCTGCTCCCAGACGCTGGATGACACCCAGAGTGACACTCAGGAGGCTCCTCGTGCCGGTCACCGAGCTATGCTCCACCAACCAGGCTACTAAATCATCCAGTCTCAAAACACTCCATACAAAGTTCAGCACCAACTTAAAACATCATTAGGTTAGGCCTGGTGACACACCTACCATCCCAGCACTCTAGGAGGCTGAGGCAGGAGTACTGCAAGTTTCAGTCAGGCTGGGCAACTTAGCGACTTAGCCAGACCCTGTTTTAGAATAAAAAATAAAGGGCTGGAGATGTAACTTAATGCGAAGGCCCTCGGTTCAATCCCTAGTACCACAAAAAATAATAATAAATAAAAATCATTCTTATTCTTCTTAATGGCAGTAAAGAGACTGTAGGCAGGGATGAAGATGAGAAATGTGCTGTCTCACAGGGGACCGCCATCTCAGACCTGGGATACCCAGGGAAGGCTTCCACTCGTCACACAGCGGCCCGGCCTGCTTTCCAGGGCGACACGAGCCAGCGCGGGCCGCACCCCAAGCACCCCAAGCCCAGCACCGCCTCGCCTACGCTCCGCGTACGTATTGTATTTCGCGCGTGCGCAGTCATAGTCACGTGGTGAGTCCCACGCCAGCGGGGACACAGTCCCTGCCCAGCACCCCTGGCGGTTGGCCCAGGAACTGCCTCCCCGCGCCTTCCGGTCCGGCTGCAGCTGCAGCTCCCCTAGTGTCTCAGCACCACCTCTCCCCTCCTTTCTGCTGGGGATGGAGGGGAAATCGCGGCACTGTAGGGACAGAAGAGTCATGAGGCCGAAGCACCTCTGCAGCTAAGCAAGAGCCTAAGCCCGAGGCCCACCGCGGCCCAGGGCTCCCCGGCCCGGGACTGTCCTTGAGCCGCAAGGTCACGGCCAGGCCACCGTCAAGGAGCAGCAGCAGCAGCCCCCTGCCCGGCCCAGGCCCCGGCCTCCTGCACGCTGGGTTTTGCTGTTCTTCAGCCGACCTTCGGGTGAAATGCGGCCAGCGTCTGTACCCACAGGTCCGGGACAGAATCGGGCACGCTCTGCCCGGGCCCAGCGCCGGGCCCTGGGCCCCATCAGGTCCCGGCAACCGAGCTCCGCTCTCAGCGCGGGGCTCCTCGCGGACCGGGACTTCGTCCGCCAGACTGCAGCGGGGAGGAGCGGCAAACCCTCGGCGAGGAAGCCGCACGGCACTCGGGGTCGCCTGGCCCTGCTGGGCGAGCACCACGTCCCCACGTGCCAGGCACGCTCCCGGCCGTGACGCCGGGCACCGCGCACTGTGGCAGGGCCGGGCCGGGCCGGGGCGCAGCGCCCGCTTCGCAGTCGGAAGCCCGGCCGCCGACTTTGGGCCGCGGGGCGGGAGGCGTCCGAGGCCGCCCCCGGGGCGGGGCGGAGCCGAGCCGGGGCGCAGACACGCGTGGCCCGGCCGCGAGCCCCACGCCGCCGCCGCCCGCCCTGCAGCGGTTGGCGTACAGGGGACCTGCGCCCCGGCCTGGGCCCTAGCGAGGCCATTACCCCGGCGCCGCGCCGTCCCCGGCCCCTCCTGGACTCACTGAAGAAGACGCGGAAGTCCTGCGAGCCGGGCCGGCCGCGCTCCTCTGCGCAGAACCCGGCCATGGCGCGGCGGGCCGCCCCGGCCAGCAGCGCCCCCGCGCGCCCCCCGCCAACCGCTTGGCACAGCCCGAGCAGCCCGCGCATGGCGACCACGGGCCCGACCCTGAGCACGGCGCCCCCTGCCGCCCGCCCCGGCCCGGACGGCGGGACCGCGGCCCGCCGGGACCTGGGCGGGGCCTGCGGAGCGCGGCCTCGCGAGGCCCGGCCCGGCCTCCGAACTGCGCGCCGCGGCCGTCTGGGGACACCCTGACGGTGGAGGAAGCTCTTGGGGCGGGAGTAGCCCTAGGCCGGTGGAGAGCTGCCCGCGGGCTGCGTCCTTTCCGCTCAGCCTGCGGACTGCGAATGGGGTTTGCCTCCTTTCCCGCTCTGCGCCCAGGGCCTGGCCACCAGCTTCCAGAGGAGATCCCTGGCGAGGTCATGCACCGCTTAGACTCAGCTTAGACCCCGAAAGGTCTCTCAACCCTTGTGGCTTTTTGAGGAGGACGCGGGAAGATGGACTCCCGCTGAGACGGAGAGCTGCTCTGTGGGGCACATAGCACAGAGCTGCTGCGATTGCATTGTTTCTTGAGGGGTGCGGGGGAGGCTTCTTGGGTTGTTTAACCTTTGATGATGACACATTCCTAGTGAGATTGTGGGCTATTTCTAATGATGTTTGATTCTTAAAACCAAACTTTCTAGGTGTCTGATTTTTAGGCATATTATTGCTTCGTGACATTAAAAGCAATAGCTTCTAAAGAAAATCGTGGAAAGAATTTTCTTGGAGAGTTATTCCGCAAATGAACGCCATTCAGGGTTTCCTGAGGCTTGCGGGTATCATCGGGAGAATCCAGCGTGTACACATTTCTGAGGATCCTCCTGCCAATGCCTTTCTGAAACTCTGGTGACACATTTTATTGACAGTTAAGCGCAGCCAGATTGGAAGACACTAATAAAAACATTAAGCATTTCAGAACATGAATGTTTACTTAAAATCAAATCTTGACACTAACTTGTTATTTTGTGAATTACATTCTAAAATGTTGCCAAGCTATCAGACATTTAGAAAAGAAAAATGAATTTTATTAAATAAGTTTACAACCTGAGGTGTAGCGATAGAGAGGTTACTTAACAGGTCCAAGGCCCTGAGTTCAATCCCCAGCACTGCAAAAATAAATGTTTACACTTCCTTAAGTTGCCATCTTTTACTCTTTACAATTTACTTAAATATTTGAGCATCAAAATTAAGAGTAATAGCTATGATGTAAAATAATAGGTAAACCAGGTTAGCTTCTTTGCTGGTCTTAAATATGAATTTTTGAAGGTAATAAAAATAATACAATATATAATTTTTTGAAATTTAGGCATCTGGAGTCTAACACTGGGCCTACTTCATGGACATTTCCTGTTATCATGGAGCAAGGATGTCTCAATTCTAGTTTGCAAAATGGAAAATGAAGACATACATAAAGTGGTTAAGTAACATTGCTGAATTTTACCAAGCACAAGACCATTAGAGAGCCTTGAGTAGAGAACTGACTTTCTAAAATATATGATTTGGGAAAAAATGGACGAAGCTCATGTGGAAGATGGACCGAAGTAGGAAATAAGAGGCCAGGTATAGCTGGTGACCAGATTTCAGCTACCAGTTGACCAGATACCCGTTCTGGCAGTAGAAAGAAAGGAATACTGGGTTTGGAAGTAGTGGGACAGTGATGGAAAAGAAAATAAACTTGCAGAGTTTTTATGCAGAAATAACTAGAAGTCTATGTGGTGTTACTCCCAGGTACAAGAAAATAAAGATGGGTGAGAAAGTTCAGAGGTAAAATGGTAAACTTGCCTTGGGATGTGATGTGTCTAAAACAATGTAGAAACTAGGGTGCAGTGGTGTGAGTTTGTAATCCCAGCCCTCGGGAGGCTGAGGCAAGAGGATTGCCACTAGCTCGAGGCCAGCCTGAGCTATATACAGCAAAGCCTTGTCTCACAAAACCAAACATTTTTAACTGCAGAGAATTCCTGTTGATGACGAAACTGCTCTCACCAGTAGGATTCTCAGGGAAGAGGGCTCTGAGACTCTGATAGGTATGGGGTTATTCAGCAGCACCCTGGCGCCCTGGAGAGTTTAAAATCCAGACCAAGGAGGAATCCGCCATGAATGAGAGTCCCTGCTGTCAGGTGAAGAGAAATGGTTTCAGGGCAGGGAAACCACTCTGAGGCATAAGGTCAGGGTGAGTGTGCATTGTTACACATTTGTCCACACCTGTAACACACACAGCACCAGGAGGGGGCCGCCCACGCTAAGGAACCCGATGGGAGGAGGCGTTGATGTGGATTCCAGGGTGAGACTGCGGTTCAGACACTGGTCCTGGAAAGGCAGTGTGCAGTCTGTATACTCTGCCCAACCTTGCTGTGAGCCCAGAACTCTGGGAAAATAAAATCTATTAAAAAGAAAAAGAAAAAAAAAAACAGTGATGGCAAGAGACATCTCAAAAATGAACGAACTGATAGTTTAAATTTTTAAAACATGTTTGGTTCCCTTTCTAAGGTCATTGATAATATTTTCCTTTGTTTATCAAATGAAAATCCTTGTTTTACTTTGGTCTCCTAACAGCCCCGAGACTGGGTCACGTGTGGGCCCCCTGCGTGGTCTGCAGCTCCCCGTGGCTGTGCTCTTCGCCTGTCGCTGTCCTCGTGGGGCCAGGCATGTCTGCTCCCTGCAGCCGGGCTTGGAACCCCTAGTCCTCTCTGGCCAAGCGGACCTGGGTTCCCCTGGGGCCCTGGACAGCCTCACTCTTCAGGGGTCCCAGGGCCCCTTCTTTGTTACTGTTGTCCAGAGCATTTCACCTAGTTTCATTTTTTTTTCTCCTCCTGGGAAAATAATTTTATTTATTTATTTTTTCTTTTTAATTCTTTTATTAATACATTTTAGGTATACAATACGTTTACATTTATCACTGGGCACTTGTGCCTGTACATGATGTATCTTGGTTCTTATATTTTACCCCAATACGTGTGTGCCCTTCACCCCCTCCACCCTTCCCTTTTTACATAGATTTCATTTCCATTTTTTTTTCTTTTCTCATAATTTTTCCTTTCCCTTCTTCCCTTTCCCCTTCCCCTCCCACCACCCCTACACCTTTGGACCTTTTCCTATTTCAAATTATCAATTATTCATTGTAATCATTTTAATCTTAAAAAAAAGTCAAAGCAGAAATAATCCCCCAGATAACTACAGAGATGGTGAGCAGAGTGAAAGACATGATTAGAGGCTCTAGAACAGAAACAGATAAGAAAATAGATGAGATCAAAAACATGGTGGAAGCCATGAATGCCCAGCATAAAAAAGAAATGGAAACCATGATCACCCAACATAAGAAAGAAATGGAATCCATGAAACAGATTCAAACAGATATTCAGGAGATTAAAAACTCCACTGCAAGCATCCAGAGCAGACTAAGAGAATCTGAAGACAGAATATCAGATATAGAAGACAGGATTGCAGTTAAGGACCAGGAAAACAAGAGATTTCTTAAAGATAGTAAGGGACCGTGAAAAATCAATCCAACAGCTGCTAGAGGATGCAAAGAAGAATAATATAAGACTGACAGGAGTCCACGAAAAATCAGGAGAAAGCACAATTGACATAAAAAACAGTTCACAGAAGTAATAGTAGAAAACCTCCCAGACAGAGGAGAATTGGACACACAGATAAGTTAGTTATACAGAACTCCAACTAGCCATGATCAAAAAGTATCTGCACCTAGACATATAATAGTCAAGATCCCAGAAACCGAATAGAAGAACAAAATCCTACAGGCAGTTAGAGAAAAGAAATAAATCACCTACAAAGGAAAGCCCATCAGAATCATGGCAGATTTCTCAACACAAACCCTCAAATTAAGGAGAGCCTGCAGGTGAAGTATTTTAAGCCCTAAAAGAAAATAACTTTCTAGTTTCATTTTTAAGCGAAGGTCCTTTCTAATTTTCATTTCATGGGATTGCACTTCCTGTCCTCACTGCCCACCCCCAATAACCATGGCTGAAATGCTGAGGCCCTTTTTAGAGGAGTTTCTCAATACCTTATTTGAAATATAAAAATTATCTTTAACATACAATGCTACTAAATAAAAACTAATATTAGCTTCCAATGAAAGGACTTTTAAAGATAAAGAGTACGAGTTTCTGAATGAGCTGGGATCTCACTGGTAATCATTTTCTCTGTTTCATAGACCTCCTATTTCCACTTGTTACATACCTGCATGTAGATTCAGCAGGGAGTTTTTTGTGTGTTTGACAATCTGACAAGACTGTTCAGCTACTATCTTAGGACAAGGCTCTGGGTACCCCAAATGAGTGAAATTCATATTTGGTCCAAGTGAGAAGGAGAATTCTGATGGGCAATACGCTGACCCCTGAAAAGCTACAGTAAATGATGCATCTCTAAATCCTCACCTGTGCTGGCTCCACCTCAGAGGTGAGCAGCAAACTATGAATTTTGTTTTGTTGTTTGAAGTGATATTGTTTTACATTTCCCCCCTAACTTTTCACCATCAGATTGATCTAGGGGGAATAGATGCAACTCCCAAACCTGCTAGATATCTGAAACTCGAGTTCCTGTTCTCTAAAATCGAACAATGAATTCCAAGAACAACGGAGGTTGAGTAGGAGGGCCGGGGATTTAACATACACCCTTGTTACTACTGGGTCAATATTACCTAAGCGACTGTACCTATAATCCTATTGGTTGATTAGTTTTTACCCACATTTACCCACCCCTCGTGACTTTGCTCTGTAAAACTACCTTTGAGAAGTGGGCTCCTTGGCACCCACTCGGGACCCCTCCTGTCTCTCAGGAGCTGTTCTTATACACCATTCTTATTTCCCAATAAATTTTCCGACTCTTAACCCTTGTTGTTCCTTAGAATTCATTCTTTGTGCTGTGCCTCCCCTACAAGCGCAAGGTCCTGAGTTCAATTCCCTGTACAAAAAGTAGATTTCCTTCTTGACTGCGGGGAACATGAACTCAGCATGTTGGGAGTTACGTATGTCCCCCCCATCATCATAATACTCAGGATGGCTGTACGTGGGGTGGGGCTGTGTGTGTACTGTGCTGTTCTCAAATGTCTTACCAGACATTCATCGAGGTGAAAGATGTTTTTAAAAA